ATCAAAAACGGGGCTCGGGGGGGAGGGAAGGGAGGGAAATGCATGAGACTATGGTGGTGGCACACGGGTGGTTTGGTGATGGGAAACCCGTGGGGATTACAATCAAGATGGAAAAAAAAAATGTGCAAAATGATGTAAAAATAAACTTTTGTAATAATTAAATAAAAAAAAAAGAATACCCTAGTCCTACAACCTTGAAACTTTTACTTCTAAAAAAAAAAAACTTTTGACAAATATTATAACAGTATGAAAAACTGACATTTGTAGAGCCATTTTTAAATGGAGCCAGGCTCTTACATAAGAGGCCTACAGCCTACATGCCCCTGCCATGTCTTTAGAGATCCCTTAGAAATTCCAGAACATTTTATAAGTACTCAACACCAATATTGATGAGTAGTAAAAAATAACCTTCTCTGTAATGCAATTAAGAGTTTAGGGTGAAGATAATGTTCATCTGCAAGTGAGGAAGGCAGACATTAATCTCCTGGAAGGTAGGAGAACTCACTAAAGGTCAGGTAGAATGTGTGATACAGAATCCATGCCCTTCAAGAATGTTTACTGGTTCTTGAACAGAGAAAAGGGCATGAAGGATAGAAAATGTACCATGTACCCAAGCCCTAGTCAATGGTCTGGACAAGTTGCATGAAGACCTGGAGCTACTGAAGATCAAGGTACAGAGAAAAGACTGTACCTTTCTCTTGTACTTCTGCAGCATTCACGTCCAAGGGTAGAACACCAAGACCAGAGGCCACACTGTTGGTGTGTACAGAAGAAATAAATGTGTAGGCCTTATCTGTTAATAAATAGTTTATACACCATAGAAACAAAGGGAGTTGAAAAGGGAGGGAAGGATAACCAGAAAAAGAAAATAAAAAATGATGTCAGGAGTCATTACAGAGAAACTACATTTATTGGTCTCATTTGAAATGAGGCAGTCTGTCCTAAGGACAAAGGCAAAGGTTTTTCTGTGAAGAAAAGAGGAAGGTGAGGTTAAGTGCTTAAAGAAAACAACTGATATAATGGTTAGCTTAAGATATGCTTTTGTATAATTAGTTAATTATCATTCATGCTTAAGCAAAACAACTCATAAACTTCATTCTTCATGATCTGAGTGACTTCACAAACAACTGTTTTATTGATGATTTCTTAAAACAACTGTTTCTAGGCCTTCCCTGGTGGCGCAGTGGGTTAAAGCGCAGCACTAAGAAGCTAAAAGCCACTTCAGCATGAGTTTGATCCCCTCCCTGGAGGTGATCCACAAGGCGCGGCAGACCTCTCCTGACCTGCCCGCTGCTCCCTTCAGCAGTGTATTTCAGTAAATCTTCCTGTCTCTCCCCACTCTGTCTCTGGTGAATCCTTTTATCCTCCGTACCTCTGTATGTATGAAAAAAAGTATACTTGACTCTTATTATTATTAAAGTACCATTATTTTACATCCTTTCTGTGTTTTGATAGAATAGGATTCCCTGGACCTGCCAGATGTAGTCACCACAGCCCACCCACCGCCAAAGCATCCATAGTCTTCCACTTCAGTCCACTGTGTTCTCCCCAGCTTTTGCCAATTTTCACTCCTATTTTTTTCCGTCTCCCACTGAAAATCAAAGATCTATGATACTAATCTTTTTTTGAGCAATCTTCTATGGCTTGCAAGGAATTTCTGTCTTAGATTAAAGTGGTGCTAGAGTTAAACTATTGATACATATGTCCATTTCCCTTATGATAAAATACGCCTCCCAAATAATAGCATTATCATTAAAACCAATGAATAAAAGATAAGAAAAACTTGTTATTGTAGTCATTTGAATTTTTGATAATGCCAATTATTTTATTAAAATAATAATTACAGTAGTAATAGTAAGGAAATTGATGTTCTTTTTTTTTTAAGATTTATTTATTCATATAGAACTGGGGTTCAAGCGAGAGGCTTCACCAGAGTGGGGAGCAGAACAGGCAGACTGACAAAGTACACTACTGAGGGGAACAGCGGGCATGCTAGGAGAGGTCTGCTGCACCATGTGGGTCACCTACAAGGATAGGGTTCAAACTCACACTGAAGTGGCTGTGGACAGCTTGCAGTGCTGTGCCTCAACCCGCTGTATTTTGAATAAAGAAGTTGATGTTCTTTATTCAAAAGAACAGTCCTGGATTGGGGCAGTACAGGGCCTCTCAAGGAGTGAATCACTATTCTCCAAGTATTAGGGGAAAGAGTGAGTTGTACTGTGCTTTAGAAAAGGCAGTGTGAAAACAGGACACCCCAGTGTGAACTGGGTTGTCTGTTTGTGGGTCCTCCCCTGCACGATTAACATTCAGTTGTACTGTGGACACACACAAAAAGGTTCGATAATGGGTTTATTTACAAGGAGAAAAGTAAAGGAACAACCCAGGAAATGAGAGAGAAATACAAGTTAACTAGAATATCCTACCAGTTCTGCTGACTTGAACTCCAATAGCACACTGAAAACTGATCAAGAGCCAAATGACCAGCCGCAAACTACCAGGCCAAGAGAGCCCCAGAACCCACATGTTCGGTTTTATCCCAACTTGGCTGCTCAGCTCCACCCTCAAGTCCCAACATGCTTCTCATTGGTATTGATGGGATTTGTAGTTCCAGTATCTGATATGGGGGTAGAGTCCATGAAACCTATATCTGTTACACTAACAGATCAGTATTCCCTTATAAGTTAACATGTTCTACTTTCTAGGGTAAGGTAAGTGAACTAAATCTAAGCTGGAGAATTGTTATTAGTGTATCTTAGATTTTTTGACAAGTATTTAGAGGACTGACTTAAGTTTAGATTTTGTCCCCAACCAGGAACTGGGGACTTGGTTTTGTGATCCTGACATACAAATTAACCTTAACAGTACCAAGTGGGTAGGAAACCAAATGTAGCCATTGAAGAAATGTATACTGGAGAGATCTTTAATTCCCTACCTCTACGTGGTTACTATACCTAAGTCCTTAGTGTACTGTTTTTTTTTTATTATTATTATATCTTTTATTTTTTTTACATCATTCTTCATTTTGTGCATTTTCCCTCTCAGTTTTAATCAATCCCCACGGGCTTATTGTACAGCTTACTTTCTGACATTTAATTATGA